TGGTGTTGTTGCTTGTGCAGCCTCTTTGCTCTGACATCCTTAAAGCTGACAAACCTTTGGCAGGAGCTGCTGATTGGTATTGGGTTGACCGCAGATGGCGACTCATTAACAGCTGAGCTGGGGACTTGAATCCATCAACAGGGCTGTTGCAATACTCCAGGAGACTAAGGTATGGGTCACTTTTGTCAGCTTTGGCTTTTCCCAGTAACATCTTTGCAGTGTGCACAGATTTCTCTGCTAAACCATTACTTTGTGGGTGGTATGGGCTTGTGGTAGTATGTGTAAATTCCCATGTTTTTGCAAATGATTCAAACTCACCAGAGCTGTACTGGGGGCCGTTGTCTGAGATGACAGCTTCGGGAATGCCGTGCCGTGCAAAAGAAGCCTTTAATTTACTTATCACAGCAGCAGAGGTTGTACTGTGGAGCTTGTCCAGCTCAAAATATCTGCTGTAATAGTCAACTGTCACAAGATAGTCCTCGTTGTTCCAGGTGAACAAATCAGTAGCCACTACTTGCCATGGCCTATCTGGGATTTTGTGACTGATCATGGGCTCTTTGGTGTTGGAGGGGCGATACGTGAGGCAGATCGAACACTTGCTGATGATGTTCTCAATTTCTTTCCCCATCCCAGGCCAGAACATGATGTCACGGGCCCTCTGCTTGCTCTTCTCGATGCCTAGGTGACTGGCATGTATGCGTGACAGCATGTCTGAACGAAGGCTTCTGGGAACGACAATCTTCTCACCTTTGAATATTATTCCATGCAGGTATGAAAGCTCATCACGGTGGTTCCAGAATTCAGACACACTCAGGGGACACTTTCTTTTCTCTTCAGGCCAACCTCTTTGTATGACTCCTTTCAATATCTGAAACTGTGGGTCCTTTTCAGTTTGAGCTCTGATTTCCTCCAATTTTGAGTCACTGACAGGAAGGCTGCTGTACACTGTGTGCACCTGAATATCCATTCCTTCACTGAGGCTCGTATCCTGGTCAGACAACGACTTTCTGGATAATGTGTCTGCAACAGGGATGTCCTTGCCTGGTCGATGTATTATGGTGAAGTTATACTTCTGGAGCTGAAGGATCATCCTCTGAAGCCTTGGGGGAACTGATGCCAGAGGCTTCCGCATTATTGACTCAAGGGGCTTGTGGTCACTCTCAACAACGACTTGACGGCCATAGATGTATTGATGGAAACGCTTACAGCCAAACAGTATTGCAAAGAGTTCTTTCTCTATTTGAGCATAATTGATTTCACTCTCAGAGAGGGACTTTGATGAGTATGCGATAGGTCTTCCATCCTGCATCAGTACTGCCCCGAGCCCGTACTTGGAGGCATCGACCTGTAATCTGATCTCTTTGTGAGGATCAAAATAGGCTAAGACTGGGCCTGGTTCACATGTGAGTAGCTCCTTCATCTTCTTGAAAGCTTTGTCGTGTTGGACATCCCAAACAAACTCACTTGACTCCTTAAGGAGCTGTCGCAGTGGTGCATTGACATCGGAAAGGCCAGGTGCAAATTTGGAGAGGTAATTGATCATACCTAGCACTGTCTCGAGTTCTCCTTTGTATTTAGGTGGTTCCATGTCTCTCACAGCAGCAACTTTGGCCGGGTCTGGCTTTACCCCTTCAGCAGTGAGCAGATGCCCAAAATAGCTCACCTCTGTAGCACAGATCACGCTTTTTTCTGGATTGAGCTTGACTCCTCTCTCTCTTGAACGCTGAAGCATAGCATGGAGGTTTTCATCATGCTCTGCTTTGGTCTTTCCATAAATGAGAATGTCGTCGACTATGGCCATGACCCCATTCAAACCTTCATACATTTCATCAATTTTTTGCTGGAACTCATCTTGGGCTGAAATCAGTCCGAAGGGGAGGCGTAAGAAACGGTAACGCCTAAAGACCGTGTTGAAAGTAGTTAGTCTTGACGACTCCTCAGTGAGCTTAATGGCCCAATAACACGATCTGGCATCTAGAACGCTAAAATATTTGGCATCAGCGAGCTTGGATGTTATATCTTCAAGAGTGGGTAAAGGGTAGTAAGGTCGCTTAATGGCCTTGTTAAGGTTCCTTGGGTCCAGGCACACTCTCAGCTGACCTGTGCGTGGTTTTTCGGCTACAACCATGGAGTTAACCCATTCGGTTGGCTCTGTGACTTTAACGATAACACCCTGTCTTTCCATGCTCTCAAGTTCCTCTTTAAGACGGCTGCGTAATGCAAGAGGAATACGTCTGGGTGGATGAACTACTGGGGTTGCTTGTGGGTCTAAGTGTATGGTACACTCACACGGAAACAGTCGAATTACAACAATTCTGCATAGATGAGTGGACCAAAATTCCTCCACAGCGCTGTAACAGACTCATTGCAAGTTATCGCAAATGCTTGATTGCAGTTGTTGCTGCTAAGGGTGGCCCAACCAGTTATTAGGTTTAGGGGGCAAACACTTTTTCACACAGGGCCATGTAGTTTTGGATTTTGTTTTCCTTTAATAATAAAAACCTTCATTTAAAAACTGCATGTTGTGTTCACTTGTGTTATCTTTGACTAATATTTAAATTTGTTTGATGATCTGAAACATTAAAGTGTGACAAACATGCAAAAAAATAAGAAATCAGGAAGGGGGCCAACACTTTTTCACACCACTGTATATATATATGTATATACACAGTGGAGATCAAAATTAGAGTACAACCTACAATGTCCTAAATTTCAAGGTCACTCTGATCAAAATTAGAGAACACTTACATATACCTCCAAGTTATTGGTGTTAATTTGGTGCCTGGTACTGATTCCCTTAATTATCTGAAAAACCCTATTTAACTAGCAGCATTCCTCCAATTTTCACTGAGATTGCAAGATGGCGGGCCACTCTAAGGTGACTGAAAGCCTGCGACAGGAGGTGGTCCAGATGAAGGCCAAAGGGATGACCCTTTCAGCCACTGCAAGAGAAGATTGTCGTTCCAAATCTGTGATTTCTCAAATTTCGCAGCTTTACAATGATAATAATTTATTCAAGTCCCCCAAAAAGGCTGGTTGTCCATGTAAGACAAATGCACGAGAGGACAGTATGATGCAGAGACTCTCAATGGGGAATCGGTTCAGCACTGCAGCTGGAATTGCTTACCAGTTCAGTGCTGAACAGGGTATGGATCTGTCTCAACGTTTAATATAAGTCGGACTGAAAGCGCACTCTGCAGTAATGAAGCCTCTCATCAGCAGAAAGAATAAGAAGGCTGAGCTCACCTTTGCTGAGGAGCTTGTTGTGTGGAGAGAGAACTGGTCCAAAGTTCACTTTAGTGATGAGAGCAAGTTTAATTTATTTGGGTCAGATGGGAAACAAACTGGGGAAAGACTGAAGCCTGAGTGCGTAAAGAAGTAAATGAAAGGTGGAGGAGGAAGTGTCACGGTTTGGGGGATGTTTTCTGCAGCAGGAGTTGGGCCTCTTATACAGATACACGTCAGAAGAATGCAAATGTTTAGAACCTCCTTCAGCAACATGCGGTTCCTTCCCTGCAAGCATCTCCCAATCAGCCTGCAATTTTCATGCAAGTCAATGTCCCCGTTACACTGCAAAATGGAAAAAGCAGTTCCTTGAAGCTGAGAACACTGAAATAATTAAATGGCTGGCCCAGAGTCCTGATCTAAACCCGACTGAAAATCTCTGGAAAATCTTTGGCGGAAAGTTATGGCTAAGAAACCCACTACAGCCCATGATCTATGGAAGAGACTTGAAGAAGAGTAGACCAAGATCACACCAGCGCAGAGAGAGAAACTACTAATGTCCTGCGGCTGCAGATGTGCTGAAGTCACTCAAAGCAGGGGCTTCTACACTTCCTACTAATTTTCGATCAGCTGTAACCTTCCAAAATGTTAGTTGTAATCTTCTTTCGTGCTACAGTGGTTACTGTTTTCTAATTTTGATCACTCTGTTTTTCACAAAATAAAAATTTTTGTTGAAATATCTTGTTATTTTGTTAAACATGTTAGTATAACAGTGGTATACCCACAGCTAATATTCCTTCATATTTTGAGCTATGAAGATGAACAATATTTCAGAAAAAATCAAGTATTTATAGATTCTTCTCCAATTTTGATCTCCACAGGCTCTCTGTAGAACTGTACAGTAAGAAAGTTATTTACCTTAATCAGGAAATTAACGTTCTTAGAATTGACAGACAGTTGACCCTGAGAGGTCAGCTAAATATCTACAGCGGATCTAAATATTTATAATTAATTATAACTAGTTATGATTAATTATTCATATTTCCCCATGAGCTCAGTCGCAACAATATATACACACACACACACACACACATATATATATATATATATATATACAAACACACACACACATTTACTGTATATGCATGTATGTATGATTATTGAGAAGCAGGTTTAAAAAACGACTTACAGAATTACAAGATTTACAACTAAATCTTAAGGAGTGTTTTCAGAAGAAAAAAAGGAGTTTACAATTCACACTTCCAAAGTCAGATGTGCCATACCCATTATTTCCAAGTGCTCCTCCTCTGGACGCCTGGGTTTCCTTTTGGTAAAGGTTTCATCTATGAATTCACGAAACACCACTTTCTTATATTTACCACCAATCTGATTTTCTGATTGTTCAAGAAAAACACTTCCAGGGCTGGGTAAAGCAGGAAAGAAAAGGGGATAAAAACGATAATGTGTGCATCAATGTGTCTAAATGTGTACACATTCTTGTAATCCTAAAATAACAGTAAATAGGTAAAACTGTGTGGCTAGCTTTGTGTGAAATATAGAATCTCAAGCACACATATGCTTTTAACTTTGTGTGTATACCTTTCCTCCAGTGTAGTATTGTGTTTCTCCAATTCCCATGTGCGGTTTGGGGCATAATTCCACTCAACTTCCTCTGCTGCTATATAGTACCACACCGTGGAGGTGAAATGTTCTGCTGCAGGAGTCACTGTCGAACAGGCCTTGACTTCGTAATGTTGACGCATGCCAGCTTTGTAGTGTTCAGCTGTACGACAGCTCAGCTCAAACTGGCCTGAGATAGAAGAGCATACTGATGAGCAAATGTTTACTGTCAAAAGAATAATATAATCTGCATTTTGTTTATATCTTTTAATCATTTGACAAAACAACAATCCCTTACAAAAAATAAGTTTATTCAAGTGTTCTATTTGTATACTTCTTTTAAACTAAAAATAGGAAAGTGTACTTTGAGTCTACTTTTTATGTACTTCTCAGAAATATGCTTAAAATGACATTTAAGTATACTTGACTTATACTTAGAAAAAGTCTAAATATATAGCTATACTTGTGCTCCGGGAATCCGTGTTTTCATTGTTATATGGTAGGCGGTGCTATGACACATCTTCCGTACAGAATTTCCAAAAAACACAAGTGAAGAAGAAACTGAAACAACAGATGCTTCCACATAATCTAACACGATCATCAGACATAAAACAGCATCAAAACTGTGTAACGTTATGGAATAAAATGTCGACCCATTATGTTTTTGTTTACAAGCAGATACCCTGTTCTTTCTTTTGATGTTTTGTATGTTCAGATATTCATATAACAAAATCTATACAAATTAGGGTTGCAAAGGGGTAGAAAATTTTCGGTAAATTTCCGGAAACTTTCCAAACATCCCTGGAATATTCCAAAAAATTTACTGGAAATTTTCCACTTTTTTGCAACCCTAATACAAATTAATACCTACATAGGGACATATACTTAAAAGTATACTTTTATATACTAGAAAGTGGGCCAATTTAGTCCCAAGGAGTATTGAAATAGTACACTTACAAGTATACTACTAGTACACTGATATTTGTATACTTACTACATAAAGTATACTTAAAATAAACTTGAAGTATACTTCTGTTTGGCAAGGGATAACAAGCTTTTCATACATTATACATTTTATACCTAGCAACTGTACATAAAAGCATCTAATCTTCCCTAACTTTATTACACCATTGTCGTGCCAAATCCTACACCCCCTTGAACCCTAGCTGTTCCCATAATCTTTTGGATTATAATGTAGCTGATCAAATAATTAATAATTAAGTCATGATTAAACTACTCCAATGTAGATGACACAGTATGTTTGATATAGTTTGTCTGGATGTTACATTGGTGGTAATATTTTTCTGTTGTGACAGCTCAAAAAAAATATGTTCCCGTCTGTGTTGCTGCTGAGCATTTTGTGTTTGTGAAACCACTTTTTGCTGTGTAAATTGCTAAATATAACGTCAGTATTGTCATATATTATGTGGCATCACAAATGAACTGGAAATTTGAGATAAAAATGGGCAGGAAAAAATAGTGAGGATAACATTTTGTCTCATGAAAATATTCCAAGAACAGTTCCCAAATTTTGTGTTCAGTTTTCTGTCTCACTGTCACTTCATTTAAGAGCATGCAAATAAATCTAAAACCCAGTGGCAATAAACAGGAAGGACTGCTGACTTTCTGTTATTAAGTGGTCTAGCCAGTGAAGTTTCAAAGGCTGTACTTTCAAAGTGGTCAGTTTAGAAAGAATACCAAACAATGCTGTTAGGGGGTTATAGGGTCTGTTGAGAAAAAGAAAAGACACCTAAAAACTCTCCCCCAGAAACGACTCAAGTTGGAACAGGACTAGAAAGAGTCTAGTATTGTAGATGCTTCAGCGAAGGCAGGTTGAATCGAGGTCAGGAAATATTTAGTTTAGTTTAGCTCTGGACAAGTGAGTCCTGTGCACCACCCTGAACTGAATGAGTGTGTCTGGCATAAAGTGTGATGTGTGTATTCAGTCAAGGATTGAGTACCAAATATTTTCCTCAAGCACCATGTTTAGTACAGACTCCCAAAGCACCCTCAACAAACCCATTAAGGGAGTTTGTTTTGTAATAATCCCTGTCTGAGTGGGTAACAGCAGTCAACAGGGCGGAGTAGTGGTAGAGCAGGTGATGAACAGCAGTTATTGTTACACAGTACAGGTTCAGCAGTACAGCGCAGTGATGAGTAGATGACAAATGGGCACAACAATGGATGACCAGAGATAAAGTATTGCAGTGAATGTCTAGAATGGTATACATTGTGAATGGTACTTGGATTAATATTATCATATTATTTTAGGTCTAATGTTTACAAATAGCAGATCAACTGTTTTACTGGTTGTAACTTGACCTATTATATGGTTTGCAGAGTCATGTTCGAGTTTCGAGTGACTCACACATACTGTTGGGATTTAACCCAAGGTGGCATATACTACACAACTAAGTGTTAGCTTGATTCATAAATGGGTACGCAAACCTTATTTTACTCATAAATTGAAAAAAAAAACATTCTAAAACCCCATAGGAATATCATGAGGGATCTGAGTTCTGACGTCATACCTGCAGCAGTCTATTGCTGTCCTCGACATGAGGTGAGGTTATCTAAAGTCAGCATAACACACTGTCGGTGCCACGATTCTTTCATGAGAACAAAACTGATTTTCATTTTATCTTGTGTTTCAGATTTTATTTTCAGCATTGCAAGCAGCCTAGTAAATATGCACGACACTATGACTTATCCTGGACTGAGATGGAATGAAGGTTTGTCAGGATAGATGGCTGAAATGTGTTAAAAAAATGTTGGACAGCTTTTCTTTAACTCTTTCTCCATCGCTGACTGAATTTTCTGGCTTTCTGTGTTTTCACTGTTATATGGTAGGGGGCGCAATTACACATCTTCTGAAAGAGTACAGAATGTCTGGATCAAAACACGGCGAAGAGGCAGAAACAAGCGATCACATATGTAAGCAGATGCATATGCAAAATAATAGAATAATCAGATATTAAAAAGCATATAAATCAATACTGCCTAAAGTTACTGAATGAAATGTCGACCCTGGAAGTGGTTTAGGACTGTGAAGCTTTGGGGGTGTTGATGGAAGTGATCTACTCCATCTATATTTTGATCATTTATATGATATAATTATTGATAAAAACGCAATTTTCTCAGCTTTTTGTTCACAATGTTGCTTTTTTAAATGAAACTTAGCCACATTCCAGTGTTGATAAAAAAATAATGAATGAAGCTAGAATAAAACGGGTTTGTTGCTTAAAAGCAGAGGCTCTGTTCATTCTTATTTGACATATCGCATGTTCAGAAATTCAAACAACAAAATATTCTGGGGGCCATGAAAGTTTTGTGAAAATAATCAAAAATGCTGGCAGTGGCTGGCAACTTAAAAAAATAAATAAAAAAATGCTGGCGGGGAAAGAGTTAATACCATGTGGGGCCTGTAAATTGCATGAATAAACTCAGAAATTAACTCTACTTTAAAATAACTGTACAAACCCTCCTACCCCACCTTCTCCCTGTCACGATCTCCAGCTGAAGTGCCCATAGTATGTGTGAGTCACTCTTTAACTGAAACTTGAACATGACTCAATCCACAAACCATATAAAAAGGTCATGTTAAAACCAAAACAGGATATCCTATTGCATTTTAAAGACTAGTTAGTTAGTCCTTGTGTGTTCTGATATCCAATGTCACATTGACAGTGAGTTGTGCCTCTTCTCTCGCACAATTGTTGCACCATTACATTTTGTTAAGTTCCTCTTTGGTTAGCTCTGGCGCAAATCTGCTAGAGCTAACTGGACCTTTTCTGTCATGAAGACTTGCTCAACATTTTGAATGCAAAATCCCACAATATCCAACAAAACAGTTTAACAATATCAGAATGTGCTCAGAATGTCCATTGTTTTGATGTGCTACTCACTTTAAACTGTTGAAATTGTAAAATGGTGCTACAATTATCATTTTGTATCACAGTCTGGAACCAAGCTGGGGTCAAGAACGCTTCTTAATATTGTTAATTCATTATTATCATTAGAACATGTATACACCACAAACTTTGAAGCTGGCAGTTACTGCTTTGTCTGTGTCACTCTTATCCCAAGGTCACCACAGTTATTCTGTATACAGGCCAGATGTTGGACTTGCGCCCAAATACCAAAAAACAGCCCTTTATGTTCAGCAAGGTCACCACAGTTATTCTGTATACAGGCCAGATGTTGGACTTGCGCCCAAATACCAAAAAACAGCCCTTTATGTTCAGCGAACACCTACACAGACCTCTACAACCAGACAATCCCTCGATGCAGACCCTAAGGCCATAACGCATCATGCCAGGACCAGCTAGGATTGCAAAGCAGACCTAAATGACTAGCAGGATCACTCATTTATAAGCCAGTCTCTAATGATCACTATTCTGCAGCTCTCCCCCGACTACAACCCCTGCCTCAATCATCTCACAAGTCTGTTGTCGCCCATGCCAGTCTCTAAGCAAAAGAGCTGCTTCCAATTTTGAATACCATACAGAAACATAGACTTGTGCTTGGAATCATCAATCATGTTGTGTTCGCTCTATTTCTTCGTTCCTTCTATTTGGCCAGAGGGTTTTCTTTTGCTCAATTATTATTCAGTAAACTCTTTAAATCTCATTTGAAACCATCAAATGAGATCGCTGAATACTTGACTTTTTGGAATTTTCATGATTTACTCATTGGAAACAGTGTTGCAGGTCTGTGATTTCATTAGCATCCATTTACCAAGTATAGAGTGGGTACGGAAAGTATTCAGACCCCCTTAAATTTTTCACTCTTTGTTATATTGCAGCCGCAAATGGCTGCAATATAACAAAGAGTGAAAAATTTAAGGGGGTCTGAATACTTTCCGTACCCACTGTATATGCATATATTTGTATTAATTTTCTATTTATTTCCTCCAGTATTCCTCCAAATAACTTTTCCAGAACATTCTTGGAAACAAACATTGTTAGTTGGGTTAGGATCTGGCACAACATTAAAATCATTATTAGTAAAAGCATTACAAGTTACGTTTCAAAGCAAGTCATACTGTATGAGTGTACAGGCATTTACACACCCACATATCCCTGATGTAAAAGCGCTGTGGCTTACCATCATTGTCAGGTGTCATGCTAACAGTCACTGTGGTATGCGGGAAGACACTGAGAGTGTCACGGTTCATTCCGTCTCGTCGAAACGTGTTACCCTCGAAATAGACCCCATGGATATCCACCTCAGTGCCCAAGCCAAGTATGTGCCACATAACGTGTTCCCCGTTACACAAGTCCAGACCTTCCAGGTTTCCATACATTAAGCCATTCACCGCTGAGAAGGAACACACACATACTTAATTAGAATATGGTCAAACCATAAATTTGTGTATTCACAAATTGGGGATCTAAATACACATGAACGTGTGATTAAACACACACAAACACATATAGACATACCATGCATCTTATTGCTTTCATGAAACTCTTCATTAGCTGGACCTGAATCACTGCTTCCAAACTTTTCAATGTTCTCTTCCAGATACCAGCTTTCATTCTCGTCCATCACAGAGAACAGCAGAAAAAACTCATGCTGAATTTTGTCAGCATGCTTAAGAGACACACCCGCAACATGGAAAAACATCACACACACACACACACACACAAAACACATAAGCCATTATAGTCATCCATAGTCTGAAAAGTAACAGGTGCATTACATATGTGGCACATTTCACGAATAAGGTACACTTTGGTGTCCCATGATTTTTTTTAAAGCATTAGAGGCACAAATCTTTTTTTTTGTGTGTGTGTGAGACCTATTAGATAAAACTGTTATTTAACATAATTATTTTATTATAAAAAGTAACTAGTTTCAAACACATTCAAAATCTGTATCATAGCCATTAAAATGGGGTTTTTGGAATGTCCCATGTAACATAATATTAAAATCATATTTAGCATTTTTGCACAATCTATAGTAAAAACAATTCAATCTGTAGTAAATCATTTTTTATAGTTAACTATTAAATGCAATACGTGCACATCCATATATGATTTTCTGTTTAAACTGATGCTGAAAAGACAAATAAATTTGACTTGTCTACAAACTGCAGTGTTGACTGCATTCTTCAAACAATCAACCCTGAAGAAAAAAAAATGATAAAAGTTTTTTTTTCTTTAATTTATAGAAATATAAGTTTATTAATATCTACAAACTGACATTTAATCCTAAACTTGCTATAGCCCCTGCTTGATTTACGAATTATATATCCAATTATATAAAACAGCTCATATAAAATAATCTTGATATCTTGAGGTTGGTAAAAAAAAAAAAAACTTTTCACTTTAATTTTTGCCCTATTTTGTACCAAATTGTCTGTGTAGGTCTTTGTAAGTTTGTTACCTGATGGCCACTTCCATCAAGAACACCTTTCTTGCACACTTGTATGGGTCCAAATAAACCAGAGTTAGTGTCCCGAACAGGATCAACAGCAGAATAGTACAAGTAGGAAAGACAAGGAGGATCACTACTGGAGGGACCTTCAATTACTTTCCAACGGTAGGTGAATTTTTTACCAGGAGCCACAGAGGCTCCAGCTTTCTGAGTACCTGTGGAGAAAAAAGATTCTAAAATCTTTGACTTATGACTTAAAACTTAGACTTATGCTTTGTGTTTTCAATATTGTAGCCAAATGTTGCGCAATGTGTGTATGAAGCGGTCAATTATTATTCTTTGTGTTCATTGCCGTTCAGTTTCCAAATGAAATGTCACAGCAGAGGTTCTTAAGCTTTTTTTTGTGTGAATGCCCCCTACTTGGCTTTCGTCTCATTTAGAACCCCTAAAATGATGATCTATGTGCATATCTGTGTGTATAGCTGTAGCTGTAAATAACTTACCATCCTGATACTTTGCTCCTTCATAGGCCTTCTCATAATGCAGACCGTGTGGCTGAAGGCTGTAGTCCTGTGTGGCATTGTTAAAGAATGTCACAATGATAACATCACCAGTCTCTGCTTTCATGACCGGACCTACAGTGGGAGTGGGGAAGGGGTGTAGAGAATCATTTAAACTACATGAATAAAAGTGAAAAGTACTCATACATCACAGCATGATATTACCTCTAGGACATATTCCCATACTTCTTATTTAAAAACTTTAAAGTTGGCAGGAAGTCAAAATTAACCATCTTTTTTCTTTATTGTATGTTACTGGTCTTATTGTTAACCATTCATATATGCATTCTTTTTTTTTGACCTCTTAAATCTTTTAAACGTTGCAGCTAAGCCATTCAGGTCAGTTGCCAATTTCAATTCGTCAATTTTAAAATATTATCAAACACATATCAGTGTTCTAAAACATGTAAGACACAAGTGAGGATTTTACCCAGAATTCCAAGATGCACATCTGAGCCCGCAAAATGTGTTTTGGTAGTAAATGTGTCATCAGTGTATGAAATGTATCTGGCCTTCAGGTATTTTCCACCCAGCTTACCACCATCACGACTGAAGTACGGTTCAGAGTCACTGCAGGAAAAGAAAGACATTAACGTAAAAACTCTAATACAATGACAACATTAACATGCATATTATAAATAAAAAATAAAAGTAAAATTACGTATAAACAAGAGATAATACCAGACCCGCAAGCAGCAATTATATGTAATCATTACATTAATTACATAAATTCTAAATAAATAAACTCTTTTTATATATTTACAGTTGTTTTCTACTGCTTCTTTCTGTTTTCAAGCATTGTATGTGTCCTAACGAATAGTGGAAAAAGTTTATCCAATCAGAATTTATTCAATAACAGTTACAAGCAAAGCTTAAGTCTGAGCACCACTCCTAAGTGCCTTCAGAATCCCTCAGCAATTTCAGATCAGCCCTTCTAGTGTGTTTTGAGTTACTCAATCATGCATTAAAGCATCTCCAAATCTGAGTTTTACCTGTCTGGTTCAGAAAGTGGTTTATTTGTCATGTAGTTCATCCCTAAAGGGGCGTAGTCCCAAACCATCTTCTCAGCAGCAATGTAGAAACGTCTCTCTTTGCCAGGGGCCTCTGTTGCAGAGGCTGTGGACCCACAGGCCGAGACCTCATAGAAACTCTGCATACCTGCTGCTCACGAGAACAGAGAGAGAGAAGATATCTTGAAATCATGAATTTACTTGCTTCCCTTAGGTAAGCTCAAGAGTTAAACTAAACTAAAAGAGATTATAAGCAGTGATATCTTGTTCAGTCATCAGACAATTAAATCTATTTATCTTCAAATATCTAAAACAATGTGTCAACCTCATGGAATAAACAGGAAAGATCAAATGTGCCAGTAAAAAAAACGAAAAAACACTACAAAAAAATCAAAACTGAAAGTGATCGAACAGTGCTTAGAGACAAAAACAATGCATCCAACTAGAAGAAAATATTAGTCTTCACACAAGATGACAGAAAGACAACAGAACAGTTACCTTGTACATGATCATTGACTTGGCAGCTTAACAACCATTTCCCTTCTGTTCTGGGGATCATTGTTGCGGTGACAAAAGTGGCAGGAAACAGACTAAGCACATCTGTGCGGTGCATGCGATCCACGAGGGTGTGCCCATGGAAATAAGCCGAATGAATGTCCACCTCGTTACCAATGCCGAAGAGATGCCAAGACACGGTACGTCCGACACACACTTTCAGTGCAGGCAAATTCCCATAAACATAGCCATTGATTGCTAATGGGAAAAGATGAGAACAAACTGAACGAGTGACATTGAGAAATAAAGGACATGAAATGACATGAGTTTTATAATTAAACATATTAATACATACAAGGAAAATTATAATTTTGTCTATTATTTATTTAAACAATAAAATGTCAGGCTTAGATATTAAGATCACAAACAGCTGTAGAGTGCAGAGAACTTTGGATATCAAAAGGAAAACTAAACTTTTCTGAATGGCTTTGTTCCAAAGTGGAACAGATACAACAAGGTACTTTCCATGAAAGTATGCAAAAAAAACAGTCATGTGTCATCTGCTAAAAATTACATTGCCCTTAGTTACAGACATTACTGTATTTCTAACAATAGAACATGGCATTTGCCAAAGCTATGGTTTTGATTCCCAGTAGGATGGTGAACCATCATGACACCAAAATTTCAGTAGTCAATACCAAACCCAGTGAAATTTAACAATTTCAATACTAAAGATTAAAAAAAATGATATTAAGCACGTTTTAAACTGTTTGACTGCTACAGTGTAATGTTAGCTGCTTTGAACAGAAGTGTATAGTATGTTTGAGTAAAACACACACTGCACTGGGTCTTCTCCTGCTCTTCAGCACAACGGTGACCCACAAAACACAGACAACAGAAACCCTTTAAATCCCAACAGAACATGAAACATGAACAGATCTCTAGATCTGAGCATCTTCACTCCAGAAGTCAGACTCAAACCAGTCTGACTTTATTTCTTTCACTCAAAACCTCTTATTGAGAATTAACTGAGGTTTAGATGTTGATGTTTTATTGAAAATAATAAAGTTTGAAGTCACCGTTGTGGAGATCAGTGTTTGCTTTAGTTGTGCTCTTGACCCTTGACTTTTCAACACTAGCTTTTCTCTGGTTGCTGTAAATGTGTGTTTTTAAAGCGCATTTATTATAGCAAATGCTGTGAGAAAAAACCTGATCAGATGAAGTTGTGTATCATCGTATAGTAGCCTAACTCACTGGTTTCATCCAGAGTTTAATCTCAGATTATAATATTTTGATGTATTAAAATTCACATTAGGTCTTAGAATACTATTACATAAAATCTTGTCCACCTTTGATGTTTTTAAGTCATTATGCAGAAATATCATGTAGACTCACAGACATCAAGAATCTGCATATGAATCTCAACAATGGTGACAATCAACAGAATATTTTAGGTTACAAAATATTCAGATAAACAGAGCAACTCTGAACATCATAAAACAAGCCACAAAAAAGCTTTTCGTTGATTGTCTCCTTTGTTGAGATTCATGCGTTGATTTTTGATGTTTGTGAGAGTCCAAAACACACAGATCAAAACACTCTCTGTATAATAATAAAAAAGAATATCTGACTGTCATAACATCATGAGACTGCTGTAAATAATGCAAAACGAACAGCTAATATACTCAGAGATGAGACGCTGGATGAGATCAGTGAATCGGGCCACGACACGATGATTGAATCATCATATAACCAACTTTATCTGATCAGATTGTCTCTCACAACTTTTGCTATAACAAATGTGCTTTTAAAACACAGTTACAGCAGCAAGAGAAAAACTGACGTTAAAAAGTCAAGGGTCAAGATCCCAACTAAAGCAAATGCCTTCAAACTTCATTATTTTCAATAAAACATCAACATCTAAACCTCAGTTAATTCTCAATAAGAGGTTGTGAGTGAAAGAAATAAAGTCAGACTGGTTTGTAACGAGTGAAGATGCTGAGATCTGTTCATGTTTCATGTTCTGCTGCTGACAGTCATGTGACATTGTATTTATTTAATTTTATTTTACAGTGAATGTTTTTGATCATAATAATTCAAGAAATACCTGTAAATAACAGTGTTTTCAGATTTTACTTTAATTGTATGGGTTTTTGTGTGGCAGCTGTTGCTACCAGTCATTTTTATCATGTAACATTTTGTTGTTGTATTAATTACTGATTATTTTTGTAATTTTACATACATCTGTATATAATTTAAGAAAACAGAAAAATACTACATAAAAAAACAGTATGCATTTTCTGCATAAAAAATTGTGAATTACTGTAATTTGTCATTAATGTCATAATACTTAAAATAACAGCCGAGAAGTTAATTTAGAGATAATTTTGACTACAATTAAAAACAAAAGAAAACAACCTGATGAAAATCAGTTATTTTCTGTAAAATTAAGATTAGAAAAAATTGGATTTTTTTTTTACAGTGCATTAATATAAAAGGTTAAGCTGATTTAAATAAAACTTTTTTAATTTCTATGATAAAAAAGAACAGTCCTCATCAGAACACAAGAAGCAACAACCCAATTTTTCTAAGCGAAAGATTGAGACATCCTGAGACTTACAATGCATGAGGTTGGACTCTCTAAACTCCTCATCTGTGTTATTCTTAAGTTCGTTTGTTGCATCTTCATCAGAGCAGAACATTTTAATATTCTCCTCCAAGTACCAGCTCAAGTTCTCATCCACCACACTGAACATCAAAATGAAATCTTCATCCACATCAGAGCGCTTTTGACTAGAGTCCAGAGTGCCTAAAAAAGAGAAAGGAAGGGTAAAAAATATTCAAAATTAGGAGGAATTAGTGCTTGATGCTAAGAAGTAGTTGGTACTGTGAGATACTGTACAATCTATAGTAAACTATTGGGAATAGATTCCACACGTGAACAGTTTATTAGGGCTTGTGTGTGGACCTTACCTTTCTTGCAGGTGAGCAGAGCTCCTATAAGCCCTGATGCAATGTCTTTTGGTGCATCTCCATGTGAATGGTAAATCCAGGTGAGACAGCTGGCATCTGCTTCAGTAGGGGCGTACTCTGGTTTGACCTGCCAGGTGTATGTGTAGCTCTCACCTGGAGCCACTGCATCATCTCTCTTATCACGACCAGTGGTGCCGTCTGGATACAACGCTCCTAAAATACAGAGTAATGAATTCAAGTAAAAGCAAAAGAGGAGTCATATCACAATTTGACAAATTGCAACAAATCTAGGACTTTAAACACAGTAACACGATGTATCAAAACTGGATTTTCCTTGCTCTTTTTGTATAAAATTTAATATACAACCTTTCTTTCAAGTCCAACCAGATTTTATGGAGGCTACACTGATTTGGAAATAGTTGTGGAGCTGGTATCACAAGCATGACTAACACATGTTTACACAATAATGCCTATTCAGTAACTTGGCCTGCGATGGAAGTAGACACCGTAAAGCAGGAGGTAGACACTGTAAAGTTAAACTTAACCTCATCAAAAAAATCTGAAAACTCAAAAAATCTAATACAAATGACGGTGAAAGTTACTTGTTAACTTGTTACGCTGATAAAAACAAAGATGTTGCACAAAGGTTACATAAAAAAAAAAAAAGATTTGTCTAAATTTAAATTTTAGGTATTTCAATTGCATACAAATTTTCCATCCATTAAGATTACATCGTTTTAGCACAAATTAATTAATGTGATTCATATGCATCAGTCATACGTAAATGAAACAGATAAAAATGTATGTAATAATTCACAGCAGTGTTAAATAAGCACTGCTAAGTGTTCATGTGTTTGCACTAGTGTTGTCACGGTACCAAAATTTCAGTATTCGGTACCAATACCAGTGAAAATCCACGGTTCTCGGTACCAATTTCGGTACCAAAGCAAAACACAAAAACATGCTAATTAAAAAATTTGACTATACTTTAATTTAATCCAAACTGTGTACATAGTTAATTTTAAAGGGCTTTTGAAAACCTAGAGTTATTCAGCCAAGAATAACAACTAAGTTGTTACTTATTAAGTTAGCTAAAAAAAAAAAAAAGCCCAGAACTGCTTTTCTGACTGATGTGACACAAACAATGTTAACCATTTGTACATTCTCTAACACACATATTTTAGATTCACAATTCATTTAAAAGCCTCTGGTGTGTAAAAATAGTAAATATCATCATGTCCTCCTGTTTATTTTTTACCCTAATAAAAGTTATAAGAGCATTAAATAGTTAATAAAGAAACTTAATTCTAATGCTCATTATATTAGCGTTAGCGGTGCCTATGCTAACGATTAACTACTCTAATAACTGCGTTCATTTCAATCTGACATTCAAATTAGAAGAATGAATTTGAGTTTCAGAGTAGGTTTATGCTGAGTTCACACTGCACGATTTTAGCCCCGATTTTCACTCGCCGACAGGTTTTGCCAAATCGCAGACAAATGCCCGAAATCGGCGGCAAATCGGTGCTCGTTCACGCAAGTGACAATCACGCAGTGTGAATTATCAAAGACGTGATCTGAGAGAATCGCCAACACCCGTGAAATATTTGGCATGCTAAATATCTGGAGTGTGAAATGAGTTCTGACTGAAAAATACATCGGCGATGACCTACAGCCAATGAGAGACCAAGATACAGGGCAGCGGGAAGTTCAAGGAGGAGTTAAAGACCACAATATCATGCATGGCTTCGGTTCCGAGAAAGTCTCGGTCTATTTGGACCCAAGAAATGGAGGATACTTTTAATAACATTTTAATAACATTTCCAGTCTCTAAGAGTTCTCATGCAAGACTGGGAATGTTATTAAAATGTTATTAAAAGTATCTTTATCTTGTGTTATTTCCCTATCACTTCTTGCATGCGTTTGGTTGTGAAACGTAGTTTGTGGACCAGCCAGCTGTCGGCGATTCTTCCTATTGTAAAGTCAAGCATTGTGTAACCTCCTGTTGCCGATCCGTCATACAATGTGAACAGCAGCAACTTTGTCTCTAAAATTATTTTGTCTCTAAAATTCATTCACCGTAAACTGCTTTAATTTTAAGCGAGAGACATAGGGGAGTGGCTTTATTGCATCAGATATATGTCACTTTGCTCACAGCTGATTGGTTGCTTGTACTATACAGGTGCCCAGCATGCATTGCGACATGAAGCGTTTTGTTGATTGTCAACCATTGTTGATTCTTGATGTCTGTGTGTGTCTGTAAAATTATGTAGATGAAATCTTTTTGTGCACAAAGTGCTTTGTAAACACTTCATACTGGACAATACTGCTGGATCTCAAGCTGTAGAGTTACAATCCTACTGTAACAAATGTCGCAAAAATAATGCATCACCCATATAATCAGAGATTAAACTCTATATCAGGCAAGTAGACGATTATGATTATGTTATCAAACATAAGCATCAGCATTTTATTTTTGGCTTGGATTTCTTCATTATATTAAACATGTCTTACAAACATTCAGTTATAACAGCCACATAAAAGCTAATGTCAAAAACTCAAGAGTCAAGAGCCCAAGAAAACGCAAACACTGATCTCCTTGGTGGCGATTTAAAACGAAACATTTTCAATAAATCATCAACATCTAAACCTCTGTAATTCTCAATAAGAACTTCTGTAGACATCTGACAGAACTAAAGTAAATCTGGTGTGCGTTTCCCAAAAGCATTGTTTGCTAAGCATTGTTCTATTGAACTCTATTGGTAACGATGGAACTTGCGACCACAGTTGCTTTTGGGAAACACCCGTTTAGTAATGTGTCCTCTGCTGAGATCTTGAGAGAGTTTATGTCTTCTTTTATTTCAGTTGATTTCATCTAAGGCTGTGGCTGTGACTCAAATGTAGTTCTCGTGTCTTGTCACTTGTCATCACACTTGGCAAAAAAAGCCTTTTCTGATTCTGATTCTCTTTTTTCTGTTCTCGTTGTTTTTTTTCCTTCAGTGATTCCGCTTGTTAGCAGCAGCTGTTCATCACTAATCCTCAATCGTCACATAATTATCTCATTAACCCAAACACTGCTTCAATTGTACGTGATGATACACATGAACACTGAGCAGTGTTTAACACTGGTGACTTTGCTGTGAACTATTGCATAAATCTAACCTGTTTCATTTACGTATGACTGAATATGAATCACATTAAGTTTATTAATTTCTGATAAAACTATGCAATCCAAATGGTTGGAAAATTTGCATACAATTGAAATGGATAAAATTCAAATTTAGACAAAAATCTTTTTTTGTGTGTGTATCCAATCATACTGATAAAAATGATTTTGTGGTGAAGTAAATACTACAGAAAAACAAATGTAATTTCAACATTTAATAATTTAGTTCAGGCAAGAGTTAAATAAAGAGACTAAATTCTATATTAGTATTCAATTTAAGTGTGTAGAAATTAAAGTTTAAACTTCTAAATATATTTTACTTGGAATTGTTTATGTTTACAAGGATTCTTTAAGTAAATATCCTGTTGTTTCCATCATGCACTGGTGCACGAATAATTAATAAGGTTACATTTTTCACTGTTTTCTTGTTCTATTTACACTGTTTTGTGGTTACTTTTGTTGTTAGGTTTAGTAACTTGCTGTTTTGTGACATCTGGAATTTATTTTCTACTCAAAAAGACCCATTCATACTCAAACACTATCCACTGATTGTTACCGTCATTGTGTATTGTGTACCAAGTCTTGAGGTCTCTGTGTTCATTTGATTAATAACTATATTGAGTGAACATATTATCTTAAAAAGGACAACAAGCCATCTACCTGCTTAAGTTAGTAAGTGAACCACATACTTTAATAGCAAGTTTTTTTTTTCAGTGCCACATTGTTTGAGTAAAGTTTACAAACTGTGACTGAGTGAAATGTACTTGAGTATCGCAGAGTAAACTTCAAAGAATTAAGTAGAAATTACTCATGAACCCTTAACTGGCCACGTTGAATTTACGCATATCCTTTGCTAATTTTACATAACTTAGTTAAGTAGATTCTACTTAATTCCATACTTAAATTTGACAAACTTTGTGCAAAAACTTGCAAAAGGAAAATTAAGTAAATGTTACTTATTTTTATTGCATGTGAGGTTCATGAGAGACAGACATGCAAACATACAACTTTTTTTTTTAATTGATATATATGCACATTTTCTAATTACAGATTAATAATTTGAGCTACGAAAGTAGTTGCTTCAAGTAGCTATTTTCTGAAAGTTCATGTTGTCTCGTCTAATTGGTGGATTGCCCTTTGAACTGCTCTGAAAAAAGTTGGTTTTTGACACTTTGCTGCAAGCTATTCGTTTATTGCTGTTATTGATTTACGGGATGTGTGTCAAGAAATGCTGAATTGCTGTTGTAATCCAAAGATAAACATAAAAAGACAGCAAAATTAACAGAAGGAAAGGGATGGAGGGGGAAAAAAAGTAAAGGAACTGATAGAGAGATAATGTATAGCCAACCTTCTGAATTCTTCTCATAGAAAACTCCATGAGGGTGGAGAGAATAAGGCCTGCTGGCAAAGTTCTTCATGTGCACCTCTATGACATCTCCGACCTCAGCCCGTAAAATGGGTCCGAGGAAGCCGAGCCAGGCAGGTTTAGGTATCTCGGTGGAGTAAGACTCATCTGTGTACTGCCTGTATAAAGCCTTTTTATAAACACTCCCTATCCGGGTAGGGCCATTCAACAGAAAATTCGACGCTTGTCTGTTAAAGGGGAATTTAGACAGATAAATAAATAAGTAAATAATGGTAATTCATTAATAATGGTATAATAATGGTAATGTCCATCATACAATCAGATTTACTGTTATTATTACGGTGTACAGTTCAGAGTCCATGTCAATAATAATAGTGTTAACAGCCTACAGCACCATGCACTTACAAGAAGCTTTATCCACACACACACACGCACGCAATCACTCACTCACTCACTCACACACTCACTCACACCACACACACACACTCACACACACACACACACACACACTCACACAAACACACACACACTCACTCACTCACTCACATACACACACGCACACATATAATAAAATACTACGTGTTGATTATTAGTTGTCTAGCCTATTACAATGAAAACGTCGCCTATTAGGTACTTTTACTGTTACTGGTAGCCTAAATAGACATGCCTTATCTTTCCTGTTTGTAAAGGAACTTACTCATCTCGCTCGATGCTCCGGTTATTGATAAGGTTTCGGCCGCTTGGTGCGTAATTCCAGGTTTCCTCTCTTATGGCAATATAATAAGTCCTCTTGAGACTTTCGGCCCGCTGCAGCGCGATCACGGCCGTCATAAAAGCGCACAGCACAGACTTCATCGCTTATCTGAACAAAAGCAACATGTGAAACCAATTTCCGAGCCAGAGTCAAAAAGAGAGGCACGTAAACGATCTCGAATGCCACTGCTTAGTGCGCACTGAAACTATGTGGCACAACAAATCTTGAAGTCAGTGTGGTAGCCTAATATCGAAACTGAAAGTTTAATCTGCTGCTGCATCAACGGGCGTTCCCAAAGAACCGGTTCTCTCAGAGAGAAGTGAAACTCCGCTGTCTCCTTCATAACACAGAGCCCCGATAAACTGAACACATGAGCAGACGCGATGCCGACGCGCTCCGCTGTGAAACAACCACTGGCTTCAAGCGCGCTCCTCTTTGAATAACTGCTGGACCATCGGTTTACCCGGTCTGTGCGGTGTTTCGACAGTTCTTAAAAAAACTAAACTAAACTAAAACTAAATGTTACAGAAATGTGCAAGCTTTCTTTAAAATATGTTTAATATTCCTGGCATTTACATATGTTGGTAAACGCAGCCTAACACAGTGACAGTACCGGCAGGCTGTGTATTATCCCATAAGTAGGCTAAATGTTTTCTTCTTCAATGTGGATTATCAGTTGCTATGACATAGCCAATTACCCTTGCTAGACACCTTAAAGGGTTAGTTCACCCAAAAATGAAAATTAGTCCATAAATTACTCACCCTCAAGTCATCCTAGGTGTATATGACTTTCTTCTTTCAGACGAATCCAGTCGGAGTTATATTAAAAATCGTCTTTGATCTTTCAAGCTGTTTAATGCCACTCAGCGGGTGTTGCATGCTTCAGTCCAAAAGAAGTTAAATAAAAAGCCTCCATCCATAAAAAAATGTCTCACACGGCTCCGGGGGGTGAACAAAGGCCTCCTGTAGCGAATCGATGCGTTTTTGTAAGAAAAATATCCATATTCAAAACGTAGTAATCACTTTAATGTAGCTTGCGCCAGCAGTTGTAAACAGAAGCAGCTCCGGGCGGATGACTTATGAGTTCAGCGCTGCGCATGCGCCGGCGAGTCTCGTGAAAACAAACGTTTGTTTACAGGAGCAAAGGAAGCAAAGTTTCCTTACTTTAGCAAAGGAAAACCAGTCTCCTCTTGGCTTATATCGAAATCCTCCGACATTCTTCTTTACAAATCCTCGTTTTGTATTTCTAATTAGTGACCGTTGTTTTGTTTTGATCTCTCCGCTGTGCTGCGCTTCTGCGTTCATCACTTCTGAGCAGTGCATGCGCAACGCTGACCTCATACGTCATCTGCCCGGAGCTGCTTCCAGTGGCATTAAACAGCTTGAAAGATCAAAGACAATTTTTAATATAACTCAGACTGAATTCGTCTGAAAGAAGAAAGTCATATACACCTAGGATGACTTGAAGGTGAGTAATTTATGGACTAATTTTCATTTTTGGGTGAACTAACCCTTTAACCTTCCCCCTAGTAGCCTATAATGTGTGTAGCATCCAGGTAACGTCAAGAGTGGTAACTTTGTTCCTTACATTAAATCCCCATTTGGAAAACTTTAGAATTATTTGCATTTATTATTCAAATGACATGTTAGGAAAACAGATCACGAAAGATGGATGTGAAACAAGTCAGTAGCTTGTATGTGTGTGTGTGTGCAACTGTTGTTGGAACCTAGCTATATGTTACATAGAATTTAATAATTATAATATTAATAATAATAACAATAATAATATATTACAATAATGAGACAGAACCCCAGTCCACTTCTAAACCTAAAATACACTATATAACTAACATACTATATAAAACTATACAATGAATTTATATATATATATATATCTTACAAATTGTAGTCTGTTACTGATTCCAAATTACCTGACAAAAATTGTAGTTAGTAACGTAATCCAAATAAATAAATAAAATAACATCAAAATAAAACTATTTTATTTATTGTATTTATTTACCTGCATGTCATGTGACCATTAATCAACATCAGAAAACCATGAACAATGTTTAAATGTGATACTTAATTATTAAAATATTTATTTTAAAATCTCAGGGGTAC